CCTGCCGCTTGCTGTAGCCGCAGCAGCTTGGTACAGAAGCAAAGGCAGATTTGCAGTTAGCTCACTTTTCAACCTGGACATGTTCTGTGTTCGGTGGAAGCGGCGGCAACTGTCGCACCAGGTAACCAGGTTTAACGGCCTTGGCCCGCAGCCAGACGATATTGCGAGCTCCGCACGTCACATGGTGGAGATCCTCGCGTCGCAGGAGGGTTTGTGCAGCGAGCCGATCGTGCATTCCTACTGTGCCAGAGCCGGCAGACACAAATTAAGAGCATTCGATGTTTGGCTTGACCACCTGGGTGACAACGTACTCGCTGCAACGATAGCATGCGGCAGCGGAGGTTGAGCTATTTTCGCAGCTGCCACTCAAACATGCCAAAAGGCCCGAAACGGCTCTGACCTGGAAGATGCTGTTGTTCGTTCCAGGAGCTGCCAGATCATGAGGTGCCACAAAGTGTTGCTTGGTGCAAATGTCAGGAGAGCATGGACAAGCCTTCTGGCCGCGCACACTCCCTGACAGACTGCTTTCCAGCCAAGGTGCTTGCGTGGGAAACCACCGAGCTGAAACACAGTCACGCCCGGTGGCGCCTGGCAGGCCATTGGGTTTCAAGATGGGTTCCACACCTTGAGCTGTGGCCGGAAGTGCCGCAGACATCTGGCGTGTGAGGAGTGCAGCCACTACCTTTGGATTGTTTTGGAGGCTATCGTGCCCGCGATGAAGTGTGGCTGCTGCGGCGAGGAAGGCGGCGTTTGGCAGCGCTGGCAGCACCCGCACCACTCACGTGGTGCCTGGAGGCTGATTGCAACACCATGAGGAGTGAACGTTCGATGTAGGTTCTGGCATAATGGAGGCTCGCAAACGGGGCATTGCCAGGGACGTCTCTCGCGCAGTTTGACTAGTAGAGCTAAAGGAGATGAAAGGGAGGGCCAGTGGCTTGCATGATGTGGCTTCAGAAGCTGGCACATGTGCCAAATACATGAACATATTTGGCAGGGGGTGGCGCTTGTGTCTGGGCTGCCCTGGCAACGGGAGAGTTCAGGTGCTTGCCGTTTCTGCTTCTTCAAGCAGTGTAACTTCGAACTTCGCATTGTGTTAGGCTTATGGCAGTGTATGGGCGAGTTGAGGCAGAAGCGTTGCCTGACTTGGAGGAGAAGGTCCTGAAGCAATCGTAGAGCACTGCACGTGCTGCCTTCCATGCATTGAGTTTGAACTACATGTTGTTTCACTGCAGTCCTAATGAGCTGCCGACTTAATCGAACAAAATGGAAAGACAATGCGATCATCGTGCGAAAGTCGCACCGTCGACCAGCGACCTCAAGCTAGGAGCTAGGCGGCTCGGCGAGAGCACACAGAGGAATACAAAGGTATCTGTGTGGCTGTAGGCATATATGCCCAAACCTCGAAAGTCTGACGGGGTCATGGATTCTGGCCTCCCAAGTCCATGTGGCCAGAATGATGGTTATAAGCTATATTGGCCAAGTTATGACTCGCTAAACTTGGCCAATATAGCTTCTTATCTTCAAAAAAGGAGACCCCGCCAAACTTGAAAACTTCAGACCAATTGCTTTATTACAAACCTTTTACAAAATACTCGCAGCCTTGTTAAAATACAGGCGGTTAGACGGTGTTGATCCATGGCTGTTGAAAACACAATTCGGTTTTCGCAAAAAGAAGTCTACGGCGCAAGCAATCTTTATCGCAAGAAGACTTATGGACTTGGCAGAGCGACAGGGGACAAACATATCTCTGATCTTACTGGATTGGGAAAATGCCTCGACAAGATTGATCAATGCCGCTTAGTAGAAACCCTCAATCGATTATCAATCCATGGAAACATCATCAGAACAATAACAAACACATATCGAGAAGCCAAGTTCCGTGTAGTAAGAGGGACACAAATCAGACTTTCATGAACAGAATTCAGGAATCCGACAAGGATGCCCTTTGTCTCCGTATTTATTCTGTATCATCATGACAGCTATCTTCCAAGACATAAAGTCGGTTTTAAACACACCAAGGCAAAAAGAACCTATCCCGGGACTCCGTTATGCAGAAATCTTATATGCGGATGACACCTTAATCTTTGGTACCCATACACATTCAATAAACAAGCTTCTGCATCAAATCCAACAAGAGTCACAAAAGTACAACATGAGATTTAATCTGGACAATGTGTTAACCTTACATTAAATCAGAACCAGTCCTCAGTTAAATACATGAATGGAAACAAAGTGCCAAGGAAGGCACAAGCGACATACTTGGGTGCCACATTGACAGATGCAGTAGATAATCATAAAGAAATCTTGCAAAATATCGGGAAAGCTAATGCTACAGCAAACCAACTTGGAATACTCTGGTCAAAGGCGCGCATTTCGAAGAGATGGAAACTGACAACTGTAGATGCCGTGGTAATAAACAAATTGCTGTATGGATCAGAGACTATGCAGTTACCAAAATCAGATCAGGATCGAATAGATGCTTTTCAAATGAAGATGTTGCGACGAGTGTTGAATGTACCCCGACCCACATTGATAGAGAATGGGCAAATCGGAGAGTGATAGACGAACTAAAATTACGAGCCCAATATCAACATGTCAAGTTATCAGACAGGTGGAAGCAGCGCAAAAATATTTTATTAGGCCACATCTTAAGGGCTCCAGCGTTCGACCCAATGAAACAAATACTATTTGAACAAGGTACGCATAGACCACGTATTGAACACACTCGTAGAGTTGGAAGGCCAAGAGCCAACTGGTTCGCTGAAGCATGCAGAGATGCCTATACAATATGTGATCCCAACACCGACTTTGATGAGCAAAGCATCGCACAAATGAGGGTTTTGGTAACCAAAGCAAACAACCGCGAAGCTCCTTTCAACTAGCATGGGCCATTGTGTTAACGTTATCGAATATGTCATCGAATACTTCAACACAGCGGCAGAGCGGCGCTGGCATCACTTTTTCAGGTTTAAGAGCCAATGTGGTCATAGACCTAGGGGCGCATGATTTTCCATTAAGCAGCTAGGGTCCAATCTTGTCCTTATGTGCTGGGCAACGCTCAGCCTCGGACAGGCAGCGTGCAGAGAGAGAGGGATTGGGGCCTCACAAGTCCATTTGGCCAGAATGATTGCGTCACAAGTCAATGGGTTGGGGCTACGGGGGTGTTTCCAAACAGACACGGATTACGAAACAGACCACGACGCACAAACGTAAAAGCCGTATCGAAGGATGCCCTGTATACGACACCAGAAACACACGAACATGCATGCAATTTAGCCGGGGCGAGGGGATAACTACCTAGCCCATGTATACACACGCACCAAAACATTTGTGTATATATGTATGTATGTATGTATGTATATAGAGGTACACACACACACACATACATATGTATATATATGGTCACGCGCTCCGCAGCCCCCCCCTCGCCCCAAAGGTCAATGGTCCGGATATAGGGTGGGGCCCCCCCTCCCCTGTGGTGTGGGGTGTGGGGTTCCTCTTCCCCCTGTGGGGTGGTTGTGGGGTTTTGGGGTTTAGGGTTTAGCTTAAGCTTTTGAGTTTTGGGTTTACGGCTACAAGGTATAAGGCTTTGCATCGACAAGGGCTTAGGGAGGATTTGCGGTGTATGCTCTGCTTTAGGCTTAGAGCCTGCAGTTAGGATTTGCGGTGTATGCTCTGCTTTAGGCTTAGAGCCTGCAGTTAGGTGGGGTTTAGGGTTGGGTGTAGCGTTTTAAGTACAAGTTAAGGTTGCTCAAAACAGGGGCACGCGCTGCGTCATAGGGTTTACGGCTTGCTTGCAAGGGCTTGCGCGTGAGCCCTGGCCGCCAGCACCACCCCACCATCCAGTGGCAGCTCCTCCAACCCCTTTCTGCACACGCCAGCCCCCCCCCCCTGTCAGACCATACCATTGGGGGGGGGGGGGGGGGGGCTGGGAACGCCAGACGCCTGACCATATATATATATATATATGTATATATATATATATATATATGTGCCACCGATACATATATACATTCAGACACGCATACACACATTCACACATTATGTTATCTTCAACTTTTGATATTACAGCATGCTGTCGGATGTTATCTTGTATATATTATCCCATACTGTAGCAACTCTGTGGCTGTGTCTTATCTGGCGTCATCCCATAAATGTTCCCTAAGTGCATGTTACTGTATATGTCATATCACGTTGCATTACGTTATATGATTCTTATATGATGTCATATTATGTGCATTATTTTTGATGTTTATTCTGTTCTAGTGTAGACTATTGCATTGCATTCTATCATGTTTTCATGTCACAATAGTACTTTATACTATCACACACGACATCATATTCTACCACGTCCTATCTTGTTATAGCATGTTTCATGTTATATCGTATTATTGCATTTTATATCATATTATTTTCATTTTCTATCATATTATATCAGATAGTATCATATTATACCCGGTTGTATCATGTTGTATCACGTATACTATGTTGTTTCATATAATGTACAATCACATATATATATATATATATATAGATGTATTCGCATGTTATTAAATTGCACTACATCATCTTGTATTATTGTCTACCACAGTATGGTATATTACGGTATTTTGCGGTACATTGCATTACCTTATGACATGATACAATATTACATTATATATCGTTCTTGTATATGTCGTATTGCATTTCTCTCTCTCTCTCTCTCTCTCTCCATCAATTTGTTCATATCTTTCTATGTGAATAAAGATCAATACACAAGAATATATCTGTATACATGTATATCTGCGTATACAGGTACATACGTATGTATACATGATTAGTTTTGCGTTTGTTTACGTATTGATGTTTAGGTATGTATAAAGGCCTCTCTCTCTCTATATATATATATATGTATATATGGACACATATGAGTAAACGTGTCTCTCTCGCTCTCTCTCTCTCTCTCTGGATTTGTTGCCCTGATATGTGAAGAACATCCCTTCCTACAGCGGCTTGCTGAGGTCATCGCATTGCCGCCCTGTCCCTCTGCAGAGTCGGACTGCTTACAAGAAAAACCCATTGCCTGGGGATCGCTGCTTCTCCGGAGGATTTCGTGGTGTGTGCAAGTCTTTCCCAGCAGGACGGCCCGCACGGGCGTTGGGCGAGCTCCAGGATGACTTGACACGGTCACTTCTTGGCTTTTGGACCAACTGATGGTAGGACTTGGGGCGACTTCTGGCCAACATCCCTGGCTCACTGGCGGATCTCCTGCGAGAGGAGCGATGTTTCAGACGCCGGTACTCAAGCAGCGGGCGAGACTACAACGGCCTCACCTCTTCACATCTGCCGCGTGCTTCCAGGAAGTACAGGTGCTTCAGCTTGAGGTTGAGGTGGCAGTAGATGTCAGGGGCTTGGATTCTCACTCGTTCTGTGTAATCTGGTGTGTTGTCGTCCGGCCCTCACTTCAACACTGACCGTCACAGTGCAATGCGCGCATGTGGCGTGTGGTCAGTTTTGGCAGTCCAGCACAACCTCAGAATCAGTTCCCGGTGCTGTGGCTCACAGGGACGCAATTTTCAGGAAAAAGCATGCTTGGAGTCATGCTGCACTTGCCATCGCAAACTGTCTGCAAGTCCAAGATCAAGTTAAGTTCGACATGTGTTGATTCGTTTTGCTAGCTAGCTGGCTAGCGTTTCTCACGGAGCTGCGCTGCTGCGCTAGCACTGTCGGCGCTGAAGAATTGCCAGGTTAGCAACCGGCTCCGTCGCCTTATCGTGCCTCCGATCGAGTGCCCCCATGGAATGGCGGCAGATGCCACCAAGTTTATCAGCCCTGAAAAGATCCTCCTCACGGACAGGACTCTTGCCATTGTGATGGTGATCACATTGTGGTTCTCCAAGTTTGCACATAGCGACATGCAATTACAGAGTTACTCGTTCACTAGGCATGCGGTTAGCATTGCTTACTGCATAGCTGCAGCAGCAGACCAGGAAGGAGGTCTGTTTTGGCGATGAGGTGCTGAACTGTGTTTCGTCTCTTCAGGATTGCCGCCGTCGCGGCGGTGCTGTTCACGGCATGGATGTATGCCGACCGAGCACTTCTATTCTGGACAGTGTTTCTCGGATCTGAAGTGCACGAGACAGACCAGTCTACTCCCGGTGAGCACTGCGACATAATACATGTGTTAGGTTCCTTTCCCTCGCGGCCTTTCGGCATTTCTGGTGGCGAGATACAGCGGAACAACCAGCACGGAGTGGTGCCGAACAGAGGCCGTGACTATGGCTCTTGTTTGGGCGACGCGTCTTGAGGCGTCTGTGGTTTATGGGCACTTTTCTCACTGGAGGGTTATTCCGACTGGGACTTTTCTGAACTGTACAGCGATGAGCAAAACTGGGCATCACCGTCGGGCCGCAGTCCGCAGGGAAGGATAAAGGCACGTTCCCACCAGTTTCGCAGCCTCCTGCTTCGGCTTCTTCAAAAACGTCCAAAACCCTGCAGTACTGAAGCGGGGTAGGCTATCCTAGGCGAGGAAGGAAAGGGTTGTTGTTCGGTGGCTCTGACAACGGACAGGATTGTTAAAATCGATCAAACATGCAAGCAGGTACACAGGCAGCTTGCGAGCAGTCGTCTTGACCAGGAGCTGTGCATCATCTGGCCGGCCCCCTCAGGGAAACGAGGCGCGGCCCAACACTCTTTGGGAAAGTGCCTTCATGTGACCCTGGGGAAGATGCACCATTACCATGCCTAACTTGTGTGTGTGTGTGTGTGTGTGTGTGTGCGTGTGTGTGTGTGTGTGGATGGTACCAAGCATGTGCCGTGCCATCCATTTCGCTAATCATGCATACATGCACCCACCACTTCGACCTTTTCACTACTTCAGTCATGCATGAGTGATGTGACTGAGGAGCTGGATGCAGCACGCCGCGCCGGCGTTCCGGCGGAGCAACTTGGCAAAGCACAGCATCGAACAGGAGCCTGAACCCCACAAGTTCTAAGTCTCTATGTTTTCAGGCCGACAGAATCTACAGGAAGGGATTTTTGCGAGCCCCGGAAGCGGGGGCGTACGAAAGGCAAGCCACCACAGAATAGAGGAGTGTCTTCCCGAATCATAGCGAAAAAGCCTGACGCCTTTCGAGCTTGCGCGAGATCGGCAGGCACTTGGAGCAGGTGGCGGAACTTGGAAGGCGAGTGTCTGCGAGGGGTCAGATGGAGCCTTTGTGCGATCCGCTCCTTATCGAACGAATTAGCATTGGCCACCTCTGCTGGGGCAGTATGTTCGTTTGATGCTGGATGGGCAGAGTGAATTTGCAGCGGCATCGGCCAACCAAACAGCAAATGCCATGTCCGAGGCTGATGTTACTTCGTGGCTGATTTGCAATGTAGATTCGGAAGTCAATGCATCCATTTGTGACGTGGCGAGGGCCGCAGAGCCGCAGAACATGACCCTTCGCAAGGTTTCCTCAAAGCACGTGACTTTGATGTCAGTGCTGCTGCCGTGATGTATCGGGCCACCATCAAATGGCGCGCAACCTTCTCCATCCAGTCGGCCACCTGCTTGCAGCGTAAGAACTACAACTGCGTTGTGAGGTAGGCATAGTGCGGCGGCCTGGTTTGTGTTGGCCGATTTTCGCGCCCCTTTTGTTTTTGTTAGCTTCGCCCGAGTTGTTTCTAATTACGTGCGGGAAGGCACTCTTCGCGTGTTACACATGTGCTGCGGTTGCGGCGTAGCCCAGCAAGATCCAGCAAGTGTCAGGTAATGATGATATTCGGCACTGGTGAACCCTACACTTTGGATGGCAATCGCGCGGCTGAAGATCCAACAAGCTGGCGCTGGCATCCGGAGTTGCATTCGCGAGAAGCGTCGCTTGTGAAGAAGTACGGCTTTTCAGCTGCAATTTAGACCCTCGTGGAGAGGGCCTCCCCGGCCCGGAGCCCGGAAAGGTTTGCCGCATCGCAGGATTTTTTGGCCGGCTCTCGCAGCGCAGCGCTGGCGGCGAGCCTGTGGCCATTTGGCGACTGGGGGCCGCCGACTTGGATGGGCACCTTCGCACTTATTGTGGGGACATAGCTGGCACCGGGCGTCTCTTGACAAATGAAGTCTCCAGCTGCGAACTGTCGGACTTTTGACAGGAATCCAGGGAGCAAAGTAGTGAAGCAGTGCGAAACAGAGGAGTGATGGAGGATATCTCAGCAGCGACTGGAACCAACCGCACGACAACTCCAAAAAGATCTCGTTATGACCCGTTGGGCGAAAAACAGGGATTGAGACAGGGGGATGCGACACAGAGGCGATAACTTAAGAGCCAAAGCATTGTGCGCATTCCTCCAAGAAGCTCCACAATTTGCAAGGTATGTGCGCGAGGACACTTCCAACCAGTGCGGGTGCATGGATGATGTGTGGAAGCGTTGGATTTACAGCATGTTGAAAAAGCTACATCATCCGTGCATGGAAGGATCTCGTGTCCATCATCACCCGCGGCTTTGTGTCGCACCTCGAGGACTGCATGCCAGTACTGTCACAGTGCCGATGCATTCTGCGTCTTGGTGCGACCGAATTGATGCGGCTTAGAAGCGCAGCCAAGTGTCGAGCACGAGCTCGGCCAGTCTTGATTGCTTCTGCAGGATTTGCTGCAGTGTGGCCGTGCGGAGTCCCTGCGTCAGGATCTCAAAGTGCCGCATGCTGTTGACTTGCGAGCGATAGCCCATCAACCACGGAAGAGCATGCCGTGCAGTTTGTTCTGCCGCGAGAATTCTGACCGCAACATGCATCACTTTCTTGCCACCCCTCGCCATGGATGCCCGCCCCGCTGATTGCGACAAGTTGTTGGCGCAGAGCGACGGCTTGGGTTCCCAACGGCTTCTTTGTGATCCGAAGGCTTGGAGTGTCGCTCGGCCAAAAGCCTTCGTAAAGCACAGCCATGGGATGTGTGCTCTCCCGCGCCTGCGAAGCTGGCGAAGCCAGGTCGAAATTTCGGCCCTCGGAGGAGCTAACCGTTGGCAAGATGCCTTGGACTTCCTTGCCGAGGCGCGACCAGCACGGCCAAGCTGTGACCGTGGCAGATTCACCTCCTGTTGTTGCAGGCCCAACCTTCTGCAGACATGGTGGTTTTCAATGCGGCCATTGCGGCATGTGGAAAGGTGGCCACGCTTCGTCAGCGTGATGGCACATCTTGTGTTCGACTTCGAAGAAGCCGTGCGGTCATGTGACTGTCAGTCCACCTGCCTTCAAGGCTGAAGCGTTAGGCCTTAAGCTTTCTTCGCGTGCAAATGTGTCAGGCTGGCCAATGGCCGCAAGCGCAAAAAGTTCTGCAGGACCTCCCCGGTTGCCAGAGTAAGCAGCAGATGTGGACTGGGAAAGCCAGCTATATAACAGGATGCCATCAATCTGAATCTGACACCCGACATCGTGACTTGGAATACTATGCTTGCTGCATGGGCGAGATGTTTCGAGTGGCAGCGATCACTTCATTTGTTTGAGCCTTCGCTGTATTTGGCAGCACGATGCAGCATGTGGATGTGCAGCTGCCCGGGGCAAGCGAGTAGATCCAGCGGTACCTCCTGCTCCCGAGGCAGATATGCGCGCAGGCGTGCAAGGAACAACTCGGAACCTACCGGATCCGGACCTCATCACCTACAATTCAGTTATCAATGCATGTGCAAAGGGAGCCTGCTGGAAAGAGGCCCTTGCTGTGTACACGGAGCTGGATGAACTTGACTCCGTGACGGCTGATGAGCCGCTGAGCGATAATTGTAGTGGAACCCTTTGCCGTCGCAGATTCTTGTCAACAAGCTCTTTCTGGATGCCAAACCAGTCCTCGAAGGCACAGTAGCAACTCATTGCTCAACGCGCTGTGCCGCTCGCGACGCTGGCAGCATGCGCTCCTGGCATTGTGGCACCTCCTTGGCCGAGGAAGCCTCGGCCAGTCAAACGGTGTGGGCTTTCGGTGGGACTGGGACTGGTGGATATCCACAGGGCCTTGGGGGCAGGAAGCTAGACTCGACAGGATCTGTGGGGTGTGAGGGTTGCGGTGAGTGGGTGGGAGGAGGTTTAAGAATGCGCCCTTTAGTGCAGTGCCATTGCTCCGTTATACTAATACTCGAAGTACGTCTGCCCTGCGTTGCTGAGCAGGTGCTGCTGTAACAACACCGGGCTTCAGCGCTGTCATCAGCCCCATGCCATCAAGAGAAAGTGTGTAGAAGCCACGCTTGCAACTGTCATACGGCTTACCGTGCCTCAGGTGCACTTGAGCGTTGTGGTGGCTTCTGGCGCCAAAGCCTGGTCGGAACCTCTCAAATACGAACCTTGAAAGGATTGAATCTGCCCATGGGCTGAGGCGCTGGTTTCCCATATGCTGCGGAGCAGCCTCGCAGATTCGCGAAGCTTCGATGCTGCTATCAGTGC